TCTTTTTTTGCTGACCCCCCCCCCCCCGTTGAAGTTTTTTAAAATCGTTATTTTCATTAATTGACTGTATTTCAATAGTTTATTTTAATTGATTTCACGAATCAAATGCACATTAAAAAAAAACAAAATTAAGTGTTCAGAAGTACAACAAAAACTAAAAGTTTCAAATTAATATTCAATTTCTTCGAATGTTGGTTTTAACCATTGAGCAAGATCATGTATAATATATATATCTTGTATTTGATCGTTAGCTGATTTGTTTACTGATTGCAATTTCGGTTCATCATGTTCATTTTCATCTTTATCACTAGATAAGATTTCTGTATGAATAATTACTTTTTTCGACTTATGTATTTTGCAATGATTTTTTCTTCTTTCCATACTAGAAAAATATTTGTTGCATATTTCACATGTTCGTTTTGAAATTGTTGTTTAACTGATGTACAAAAATAGTCGAATGGAATTGATGAGGAATTTAATTGTTTGTGAATAAGTTTGTTCAGTTGCAAACGTTGAAATAATGAGCCATAAAATTGATCTTGTTCTGAATCATTTGTAATAATAACAAGACCCGATGAGCCTCGTACGAATGGAACAGGTGATGGTAAAAAACGTTGAGGAAAAACTTGAAAAAAGTTTGAACGCCACTCACCACAACAATCTTGTGAATCACAACGAATAATTTGTAATGTATATTGTGATTGTAACACATGACGATCACACCAACTTTCATCAATGTTTGAAGATACTTGTGAAGTAAACGATGAATTCACATAAGAAGCAACCACAGGATGAGAATCAATAACTGTATTTGACCAAACTTCAGCAAGTACTTCACCAGCTTTTTCGAAATTCTTTTTTTCCAATTCAAAATCAATTGTGTTGCCACTGGCATCAAGATGAGTACCAAAATTATCATGAGGTAAAATAAGACCAGATAAATCATGAGATAATGGCGCCATGCGACGCTCAACGGCATTAAATGCTGATTGACCAGGTGCATGAGTAAGTACAAACAATGCATCAAGATTGTGAGTTTTAAATATATCAATTGATGAAGCAAGTGTTTTTGGAAAACGAGGATTTTCATCAGGCCCACCATCGACAGTAATAATAACAATAGATTTAACTGTATTTGAAGAATCAAGTGCAGCCGTGTTAAATTCTTTTAATTTGACCAAATGATTAAAATCATCTCGATGATTAGCTGATACACTTTTATCATGTTTAGCTGAACGAATAGCAATATATGTTGGACCTGAATAACCAACATCTCCAGCATTATTAATCAAACATGCAGCATATACACTAAAAAAGACAACATAGTTTGTTAAATATCTCCTTAAAAGACTACTTTAAGTTACCTTGGAGTTAATTGATGACGGGATGCTATAACAAAGTCGTGATCGGGTAGTTTAATGACGTAATCAAGATGCATCAATAAAGGTGCTTGTTTCTTTGCAGCTGGTAAACCAATAGGCACTTTGCACTTGTCATCTTGTGAAAGAAAAAAAACACAATCATTTCCAAAAAGTGTAGCTAAATCTTTTGCAAAACGAATAGCCGCAGCAGCAAAATGACCATCTTCGTGCTTCTTATGAAGATTATTTTGTGCTTTTTGAAGACGTACATTCACTGTACGAATATGTTTTTTTCCATCAATGGAAAGTGCACGACGAGGTAAAAGACTAAAATTAACATGAAAAAATTTGATCATTTTTATAGTAGTAATTACCGATAATATAAAGTAGATCTTTTAATATCATAACCTTTCATTTTTAATGTTTCACGAAGATCATCAAGTGTTAAACAAGATCGAACAGTTTCAGTTCGTCGTCGATCATCAACAGCTCCACCAAGCATAGCAATTTCTTCAATTGTAACAAGTAAATCTGGACATGTATCATCAATTGAAGGACGTCCTTTATCTTGTCGAAATGATGTTTTTAAAACAAGACCAACTTCTGGATGAGATTCTGCAATTGCTTGTAATTTATGTTTTTTTTTAGCACGTAAACGTTTTGCAGCAGCAGCACTATTTCGAAGACGTTTGAGTTGATACAACATTGACTTCTGTTGTTTAAGTAAAATCTTTAATTGTTTTTCATTTTCAGTTGTTTGTAAACCTATTTGTTTAAGTTGCATAAGTGTTGTAACACGTTCATTAACTCCAGCTAAATCATTACATAATTTTTCTTGAGCAGTACATGGATGATTACTAGAAGTGATTGTAGTAGTATTTGCTGTTGGAATAGTATTTGTTGTTGTAGTAGTATTTGCTGTTGAAATGGTATTTGTTGTTGTTGTAATAGAAGATAATGTACAATCATCAAGAGTAACAACATCAGATTGTGTACATGAATTAATATTAGAATTATTTGTCCAGAGTAATAAAGTATTTTCTGCTAAATTAAGTTTTTGTTTCGTGGAATATATTTCGATATGTTGTTGAATTAATTCATCATCTTTTTTTATTTTACTCCATTCGACATTCAACAGTTTATATACGTTCTAAACATAGTCAGATGTTTATGTTTTAATAAAGAGACGGTATATTCCTACTTCTTTTGATAAATTCTTATGACAATTCAGAAAAGCATCACGAAACACAATATAACTTTTCGACTTATTAGACGACATATTTTATAACAGGGCTATATTTATTTGTTGTTTATTTCTTTTGAATTTGTTAGTTTTACTTTTCTATCGTCACTGTCTGATCGACGCTATCGTTAGTATCTTTCAAAGCTTTGATGGTGGCGCCTGTTGTAAATTCAGCATATTCGTTGCGTAATTCAAATATTATGAATTCAGCATATTTATTGCGTAATTCAAATTTTATTATTACGTCATCAGTAGGTCTNAGAAAGAGAACATTACAGACATACCCACACCCACACCCACACCAAAACACCCCTGATTTTTTTATTAAGTTTGACCGAAGGTAATCAGGGTCGAAGAATCCGAATTTGCAATCGGTTTGCCAAAATCCATTACTCAAGTTTCTCGATAAGGGAGAGGTATTTCGCGGAAATAATGATGTTTTATATAGTTTGCCCAAACGAAATTAGGGTTAAGGAATACGATTCTCTAATGTGTTCTCTAAGTGAGAGTGCATGAGAGAAACATGGAACTGAGATACTGATCAAAATTTTGAGTATTTCATACGCATTCGATAACCCATTCCCCCAAAAAAAAAGTCAAATTTTTTTCGAATCAGCTTTTTTCATTATTTTTATACATTTCAAAAGTTTATTTTAATGTATTGCAAAAATCTAATGTTTCATTATAAAAAGCAATATCGAATATTTCAATTACAAAAAAATCAAATGTTTCAATATAATAATAAAGTAAGATATTACAGCAAAAAGAAAATCAAATGTGACAAAAAAAAAATCATATGGTACAACAAAAATATCATATGTTACAACAAATAGAAGATCAAATTTCACAAGACAAAAAACGAAAACAAATATTTGAGAACTAAGAAAAAAAAATGTTCAAAAACCAACAATGCTTTTAAAATCGCAATAATGAGCTAAATTTCTTCGAATGTTGGTTTCAACCATTGAGCAAGATCATGTATAATGCAAATGTTTGTCATGTTAGTTTCTGATGATATATTAGTTGATTGTGGTGTTGGTTCATTTTGTTCATTGTCATCTTCATCATTGGATAGGGTTTGAGTATCAATCACCACCTTCGATAACTTATGTATTTTCGAATGATTTTTCATTCGTTCTATAGTAGGAAAATATTTTTTACATTTTTTACATGTTCGTTTTGCAAGTGAGTTTTTGATTGTGGTACAAAAGAAATCAAATGGAATACTATCACATCCAATTTCTTCACAGATAAAATAATTTAATTGCAAACGTTGAAATAATGAACCATAAAATATTCCAGGTTCAAAATCGTTTGCAGCAATAACAAGACCGAATGAGCTTCTTGCCAGTGGAACAGGTGGTGGTAAAAAACGTTGAGTAAATATTTTATAAAAATTTGACCTCCACTCACCACAACAATCTTGTGAATTACAACGAACAATTTGTAATGTATATTGTGATTGTACAACATGACGATCACACCAATGTTCATCAATATATGAAGATGTTTGAGATATAAAAGATGAACTCACATAAGAAGCCACCACCGGATAAGAATCAATAACTGTATTAGACCAAACTTCAGCAAGTACTTCACCAGCTTTCTGAAAATTTTGTTTTTCCAATACAAAATCAATTGTACTGCCGTTGGCATTAAGATGAGTACCAAAATGATCATGAGGTAAAATTAAGTCAGCTAAATCATGTGAAAGTGATGCCATACGACGCTCAACGGCATTAAATGCTGATTGACCAGGTGCATGAGCAAGTACAAATAAAGCATCAAGATCATGAACTTTAAAAATATCAATAGATGATGCAAGTGTTTTTGAAAAACGAGGATTTTCATCGGGTCCACCATCAACAGTAATAATAACAATTGATTTAACTTTATTCGAAGAGTCAAGTGCAACATTTTTAAATTCTTGTAATTTGACCAAACGACCAAAATCATCTCGATGATTAGCTGAAATACTTTTATCATGTTTAGCTGAACGAATTGCAATATATGTTGGACCTGAATAGCCAACATCTCCTGCAGCATTGATCACACGTGCAGCATAGACGCTAGAAAAGGACCAAATAGCTTGCTAAATATTTACCAAAAAGTTACATTTTCTGTTACCTTGGAGTTAATTGATGACGGGGTGCTACAACAAAATCGTGATCAGGTAGTTGAATAACATAGTCAAGGTGCATCAGTAAAGGTGCCTGTTTCTTGGCAGCTGGTAAACCGATAGGTACTTTACACTTGTCATCTTGTGAAAGAAAAAAAACAGAGTCATTTCCAAACAAAGAAGCCAAGTCTTTTGCAAATCGAATTGCTGCTGCAGCAAAATGACCATCTTCATGTTTACTATGAAGATTATTATGTGCTTTTTGAAGACGCACATTCACTGTATGAACATGTTTTTTTCCATCATGAGAGAGTGCACGACGAGGTAAAAGACTAAAATTAACATAAAAGAATTTACTCATTTTTATAGTAGTAATTACCGATAATATAAAGTAGATCTTTTAATTTCATAACCTTTCATTTTTAATGTTTCACGAAGATCATCAAGAGTTAAACAAGGTCGAACAGTTTCAGTTCTTCGTCGATCATCAGCAGCTCCATTGAGGATAGCAATTTCTTCAATTGTAGCAAGTAAATCTGGACATGTATCATCAATTGAAGGACGACCTTTATCTTGTCGAAATGTTTTTTTTAAAACAAGACCAACATCAGGATGAGATTCAGCAATTGTTTGTAGTTTTTTTTTTGTTTATTACGTAAACGTTTTTGAGCAATAGCATGATTTCGAAGACGTTTGAGTTGAGATGATGTTGATTTCTTCTGTTTAAGTAAAATCTTCAATTGTTTTTCATTTTCAGCTGTTGATAGACCTGTTTGTTTAAGTTGAACAAGTGCTGTAATACGTTCATTAACACCAGCTAATTCATTAGATACTTTTTCTTGTGCAACACATGAAACACGTTTAGTAGGATGAATTGTAGTACTAGTATCAGTTGTTGTAGTGGTATTTGTTGTTGTGGTAATATTTGCTGTTGAAGTAGTATTTGTTGTTGGAATAGAAGATAATGTACAATCATCACGAGCAACAACATCAGATTGTGTACATGAATTAATATTATAATTATTTGTCCAGATTAATAAAGTATTTTTTGCTGAATCAAGTTTTTGTTTCGTGGAATATTCTTCAATTTGCTTTTGAATTAATTCTTCATCTTTTTTTATTTTATTCCATTCGACATTCAGCAGTTCATATGCATTCTAAACATAGTCAGATGTTTATGTTTTAATAAAGAGACATTATATGCCTACTTGTTTTGTTAAATTCTTATGACAACTCAAAAAAGCATCACGAAACAAAAGGTAACTTTTTGGTTTGTTAGACGACATATTTTATTACTATGAATATGTTTATTTGTTGCTGTTTACTTTTTTCCAATTTGTTAGTTTTATTTTTATTTTTCACTGTCTAATCGCCGCTATCGTTAATATCTTTCACAGCTTTGATAGTGGCGCCTGTTGTGAACTCAACATATTTAAGTATTTTCCTTCGAGTCGTTAAGGCCTTGTCTTTTCACGCCCGCGTCCTCGTAGAAAGAGCGAGGCATAAACACTTTTTTTTGTTCTGTTTCTATACCTATCNTGAAAACTAGTATAAATGTTTTCCAAAATATTTGATGTTAAACTTTCTATCAACCTGTGTTCCTCTTAATTCAGAATAATATAAATGCAGTAGTGTTCGGACTTTCAAAAAAAATTTCTAATATTTTCAAAAACTTTTGATTTACAATGCTATGTAGTTATCAAGCTGAGGAAAATTTCTGTAATTTTCTTTTTCAGAAATCTGGACATAGATTTTGATAAAAAAAGTTAATTCAAACAAGTGTCAGAATAGGTGTTAGCGTCTTTTAGCTCAGTTTCTCTTACTCTCTTCAATGTTGTGGTATTTTTCGATTGCTAAGAAAAGAACCGATCTTTTTGACTGCTGACAACAACAACCATGGATATGCATCTTTTTTTGCTACGCTTCAAGGAAATCAAATAAATATTCTCTTGATGCAGACATAATCAGACGAAAGAACAACTGAAGTTTCCATTACATTGTCACAATATCAAATGTATTGCTTATGCCTTCAGTCGATGTTTTCTTATTCTATCCTATCGAACAGAACAGTTATAATCATTTTGAATAACCCATTGAAAAAGACTTAGTAAAATCCAGCTTTAGAAGAAAACTCTTTGTTTTACATCGTAGTAGAATTCATACAGCTAAGAGTTTGTTTTCTTTGGTTCATCAAAAATCTTCATAAATAATTGCGGATTTACTTTGTTGTTCTCATCGTTTTTATAAACAACATTTCACAGTTCTATGGACGGTCTTAATATGCAACTAAACGTCACTTGATTCGGTCTTGATAACAGCATAAATATTTAGTTTTTTAATTAAATAATTATTTTATATTTTGCCATATAAAAGATTGCTTGTGCACAAAAACTAAAAAAGGATTCTACATTATATCTTTTCTGCACATATGACATTAGCGTTTTTTTAATACTAATGCTTAGTCATATTCTCCGAATTTCCCAACAGTAATGAAATGAGAAAATAGTTTCCTTTTTCTACTATGTATCGTTATTCGTACAGTTATACGCTAGCTGGTCGATCAGTGATGTTGCTGAAAAAAGTTTAACCATATTGAATCTTCGACAGCGGTGACTGAAACTTTTAAAAAATTTTCGTACTAAGGGGAGCCGTTCAGTCGCTCATCTTACACGTTTAGTTACTTGAGGTATTTTCCAACACTCTGAGAAAAGTCAAAAATATTTCCTTACTGTAACTTCCTTGCTTTATTTGGTTTTCATGACACTTCTAGCAATGGGATTCAGTCGTGAAATTATTTTCTTTTCTTCTCTGTTTTAAATTACTTATCCTCATAGTTGTGCATCATCATGCAGGCAATCCGAATGCGTTGGTTCGATTTGATTTTTCTCCTTCCTCGTTTATTTATGCTTGCAATGGTGGTTGATTTCATCGGGAAAAAGGAATTTAGTTTACTTTGCTGTTCTCCGTTCCATCACATCAATACTTCAACCGTTTCTTTTTAACGGAGAGATGGAGAAAGCTAGTTTAGTTTATTTCCTTTTAAATGTGCTTGTTCAAATAGTTGCGGAAGATTTTACAGAGGCAATAGAATAAAAATACTTTTCTGTTTTTTTCAGTTAGTTATTCCCTGAATTGCTCGTCATTTTTCCGTGAAACACTGAACAGAGAAACAGCGAAAGCTAGTTTAGTTTACTTCCTTTTTATTTTTATTTATTCCGATGGTTGCCAAAGATTTTACAGACGTAACAGTAAGAAAAAAAGACTGTTTTCTTTTTCTTTTCTTGAGTTAGCTATTCTGAGTATTGCTTGTCATTTTTCTGAGAAAAAATCAAAAGGTTAGTATTGTTTAATTTTTGTCTATCATTACTGAGTTATTCTGAAAATGGACGCGTATTTTATTAAGAGAGCAATCGAATAACTTAGTTTCGTGCTCTTTTTTTAATAATTAGGTCCCTGCTTTATTCATTTGATTTCAGAAAAATGTGAAAATGTAGTTTTTTCATTTTATTCTTTGTTCCTTTATCCTACAAACTCTTGTGCATTTCATCATGGAAATTTAATTAGAGAATTAGCCTTACTTTGTTTTCCTCTATTTAATTATTGTGACAGTTGTCAAATATCATATTGGAACGAACCGAATAAGTTGGTTTTGTTTTTCTCTAGTAATTTTAATGATAATTTCTTGGATTTTAGAACAAAGATATAATAAATTAGTTTGTTTTTCTCGATTTAGATCGAGCAAGTATTTGACGAGCATTCGATGCGAAGAATAACATAAAATTAGCTTATGTAGGTTTGTTATTTGCAATTTGCTTCCCTCACATTTATCAGTAGTGTCAAATCTGAAAATTGAATTCAATTATTGAAGGTAATTTCAGATATTCAACTATTCAATGATTAAATAATTGGAAGTTTACATATTTGATATTTCATAGATTAGTTATTACTGCGAAATAAGAACTATGCATGCTCAAGAAATTAATGAATTCTGACGTTCACACGCACAATAATTCGTATATCGACTAGCCATATTCAGATTTTCAACTATTGCACATTATACAGAACTGATGATTTTTATTATTCACTGCCCTCGAAATTCACTTTATTACGTAAATCAGTAATATCCACTCGACTATCAGTTCCTATCTATTCGGAGTCCTTTATGAGTAAGAAAAGTGAGGATTTAATCATCGAAGTCGCTATAGCATAATGGCATCTATTATACCTATGAAACTTGAATTTTTATTATGCTCTTGATGACCTTTCAAACTATACATCTCTAACGATCTATTATTTTCACATAGTATTTGCCGAAAGCGGGAATCTGAGGATAGATCGTTAGAGGAAACTTATTTCTTCGAAGATTGCTGAGTAAGCTAGCACCATATAGACTAACTCTCAATGCAATCTATCAAATTCGCTTTCAACATAATCTTGGATGTACTTCTAAACTTCTAAAATTGCAATAAAATAAAGCTAACCATACTTTATGTCTACAAAAAGAGTCAGCATTCGACTTAGAACCAGCAGGTCATCATATAAATTTTTTGACAGAATTGTGGTCCAAGCCATTAGTTCCAGAAACAAAACTTGACAGTCGTGACTATTTTTATGTAGAGCAAAAATCTTGGCAACTTTTTTCCTACTCAAAATCAGTTCGCGAGTCAGTTCTCCAAAAAGCATCAGTTATACACAACAACGTTGATACAGTAGTCGGAAAGCTAATATTACCCAAAAAGCACTACAATCAATATGAATTGCAATCAGTTCAAAAAGTATTCGAATACCCCATATTTTACGAGAAACGTTGCCGTAATTCAAGATGGTAGTAAAAATTGCTGATTCTTACACAGAACCTAGTATGAACTGAGGATTACCTATCTGTGAAAAAATAAAAATTTTATCTATTGTTTCTGCTTCACAAATCAAGATACGAAAAAACATGGGGTGTTCGGATACTTTTTGGACTGGTTGTATGTTAAGAGAAAAGAATCCATTTGCATAAGCACATACGAAAGTCTCAGTATCAAACATACGATATGACGGCGTCATGAAAACGTGAATGATGCACTGCGCGTTGCAAAGTACACTAGAGACACCGACTAAAGAGGCCCATAGCCAACTCGACCATATCTATTATCTATTAGATGAACTGTGTGTGTATTTTAGGGTACTTTCGTCTCTCGTGACATCTACACTTGTTATGATGACCTCTGTGTGAGAGGATTCGCTGATGTTGATTCTTATTTGCAAGAGACAATTGAAAAATTTTTTCTGATGACTGGATTGACAGTTTTTCCTTGATTACTTTCTATATCTTGATCCTCTTCTGTGGAAAAGTATCTCGTCTATTTCAGTGACCAGAAACTGAAGTACGCTCCTAAATATTGTAGTGACTTCCTAGGAATCGTTCAAAATATTTGAATATGTTTCTCAACTATTCATTTATTGAACTAACTGAATAGTTGAATAGTTCGGTTCAAGTATTCAATAATTCAATGATTGAACAGTTCAATTCAAGTCTCCAATTATTCATTCAGTCCAATAGTTGAATAGTTGAATTTAACTTGCTGGTTTGATATATATGTATAAATACAGAACTACTAAAAAGGTGTGGATGTGGGTGTAGAAGTAGGTATGGGTGAGTGGAGGTGTGGGAATGTGGATGTATCAACGTAGGCACACCCACACTCTTTGTGTAAAATTAGGTTGCAGTCATTGCCTTAGGCAAATATCACATAGTTTCGAGTTTCTCTTCACTCCAATACGGACGTGCAATGGTGTTGTTCGGGACATACGAAAGAAGACTTCTACAAATCCCCACGTTGGTCCGAAGAAGACTATGCTTTATCCTGGTAATAGACGAGAAAAGCCCTACTTAAATCTGATTGGTCGATAGAAAAAAGCTGCCGACGAGTCAGGTTTTAGTAGGATTTTTCTCCTCTATCACAAGGATAAAACATAGTCTGACCTGGGCCAATCTGGAGGTTTGTGGAAGCCCTCTTTTATGGGATATTAGTAAAATACGCTCTCATCCACTTTGATCGCTGTTTTATTTGAAGATATTATAGATCTATAGAGCATAAAATTCTCCGTTCATGAGACCTCACTCCGACCCATTTTCTCCGATTGATATCGGACGAAAGAATTCAATACTATTCTTATGAGTTTACTCTTACTCGCCCTCACCCACTCTCGTTTCCTCTCACCAAGATCATAAAAAGAAAAAGAAAATTGAAGACTAAACAAATTTTTCCAAAGACGCCGATCTATTTGGTTGTATTCAAATTACTATCTGATTCAAGATAAAACAAACTTTATGGTTTTTTGCATAATTTTTGATAGAAATTAGATAAAAACCTGTGATTATCACCATTCGAAAGAGAAATGTGGGTGTGACTGTGGCTGTGGCTGTGTGTGGGCGTGGGTGGATCTGAGTCTGGGTGTGAGTCGATTTGAGTGTACAGTAAAAGAAGGCATACACCCACACCCACTCGTACCACACTCCACCCCACACCCATACCCACACGCCCACACCCACACCCATACCCACACACCCATACCACACCCACATCCCACATTAATAGCATATTTAATTAGATTAGCTTTTATTTTATTTTTGAATAAATATATAAATAAATGCGAAAACCTCGGATTTAAATCCGAATGTTATGTGTACTTCAAAAAGTGAACAGGTATATTCACTTTGCTTTTTTTATCGTTTGACACATATCTAGCCTATTTCATTTCTCCATGCAGTTTTTATGCATTTTCAGACCTTTTTCAGACGATGTTTTGTTAGAAAGCTACAATTTGGTTCAAAACTAATATCAGATTCGGAATCAGCATTAAAAACTGAGTCGATTTATATATGGTGTGAATAATTCCGGGAAAAATTTTTTTTTGAAAAACTCCCTGTACCCCCCCCCCCCCGCTTAGGGATGGTCTGGTCAATAATGACAATTTTTTTGATAACTCAGCCATTTCTTCACGGATCCTTATCATCTTCGAACCCGACTGAGACATTGTTAAGACTGAACTGTGTAGAGAATTTCATCATGATTTGACTCTCCTTTCGAAAGTTACCGTGTATACGGCCGGACGGACATACTGACCAAATCTAGAATGTACTCACTTTTTGAGTACACAAAAATGCATATAAGAGAACAAGTAAAATTCAAATAAACACTCATCAATGTTATTGTTGCATTCTGATTTGAGAGCATTTGAAAGTTTGGATTTTTTCATCTATCTCTTATGTGAGTGTTTTCAAATGTAATACTATAAGAATTTCATACAAAGAAGGGGTTAATGGCAACACAGGTGTTTTATTCTGGGTATTGATGTGGACGAGAAAAGATGCATTTTCTTCACTCACGTTGAAAAACATATTTTCAAGGTGAAATGCATGCATCATACAGAACAAAATATAGTATTAGTCGAGTTGAAACAATTGATTTCTGTCTAAAAATGAATTTTTTTTTCTTGACGGTTAACGCAAATATTTGACTCGTGGAGCAGCAAAGATATTGTGCGCTTGTTTTGTTCGCACACATAAAATATAAAGCAATTATATGAGGCCATTGATTAAGAATTCCTGTTTTTTGATTGGATATAAACTGAATGCAACATCACTATTAGTTTTTCTCCAATGATTCATGAATGTACAATTTATATTGATAATGATGATGTTAATGTGTTTTTCTTTCTCGGTCAACAATAAAATCACGTCTAAGCCGTATAGAGAGCATTTTTTCATCGTTCTGTGGTTGTATAAAAAAGGCTTATTTCGCTCTCCATTTTTCATTCCATTAAAAAGAAATTCGATAGAAAACTTCATTCAAAAATGTTATCTTCCACCAATCACGAACCTGTTATTGATCGAGCTGCGTTCGAAGCCTATACGCAACTCCGAACGATTGCCAAGAAATACAATGTCGAAGATAAACTCGAAGTACCACAACTGGTCCTTGTTGGCGAAACATCGACCGGCAAATCGATGCTCGTACAAAATTTTCTTCGATTTCCTTGTTCATTCTCTCAGACTGGAATTGCAACACGTTGTCCAGTGGCTTATCGACTTGTCTACAATCCAACTTTACTAATCGGCGAGCTTCATATTATTCGGCCAGCAGGTATTACTCCTCCCCAATTGGCAAATTACTTACAACAGTTAATGAGACGTATTCAAGAAGAATGTTGCGCAACGGGTGGCTTTCGACTAGAACCCGAATGGATCGAGATTGAAAGTGCTGAATATACGGATTTCGAAATTCTTGATCTTCCCGGTCTGATTGGTGGTGATAAAGTGGCTGAAAATCGAAAAGCAGTAGAAAAAATAGCCGAATCGTTCGTACGTAATCCTCGTTTCTCTATTGTTCTATTGAAAGAGACGACACAAATCACTGATAATAGTCATGGAGCACGTGTAATTGATGAACTCTGTAAAAAACAATCAGGATCTGATACTTCTTTACCACCAAGATCTGATTACCATCAAAATATGATCACTATTCATACAAAATTTGATTCTTTCATGTTGAACTTTACCAATGGAACTGCAGCCAATAACGAAATGTCAAAGCAACTGCACGATTTCGGTTCTTCTTTCTTCACTAATATGATTTTTGATGGATATTCAATGGCAGAACGATCATTCGATGATAATGTTGCCTATCTTCGTGATTTACCGCGTCGAGAACAACAAGAAGTAGACAAATGGATTGAGAAAATGAATCAAAAGAGTGGCCAATTACCGGATCATTATCAACGTTTCGATGAGAAATATCGTAAACTTATCGGTATCGATGTTGTACGAAATCAAATTCAATCACTTTGGCTCAAGGTAAATCGCTCGATTTTCATTTAAATTTTTACACGAAAGTATTTGAAATGCAATCGAGTTCCTCCGCATTTATTCTAGTCATTTCGTTCTGCTCTCCCAAAATTAAGAGCGAAAATTCAAGATGAACTTGATAAAGCTCGACGTCAATACGATGAAGATCAAGAACGGTACAAACTACTCGATCCCCACGTTCTTCGAGACACCTATAGAAACTATATTCATGATTTTCATAAGATTCTTTGTCAATATTCTAGTTACAAGTCGGAAATCGATTTTATTTTTCCTCTCGATCGATGTGGTCAGACATACGAGGAGATCGAAACTGCCTATAATGAATGGAATCGCAAGAAGACAGTCACTTGGCGGGCATATTTAAGCGTAAACGATTTGAAGCAACAATTTCCCGATGAGCATGAAACGATCAATGTACGTTATGTTGGCGGTCGTCATTTTGTACGACTTCACAATCTCTTTTCATACATGATTCTACATTGTAAACCACGAGAACCGACTCGAGATTGGATTGAATCAGCTGCTTCGCTTTTAGCTGCAGGTACAACAGACTTTGATGATTTGGAAAAAGCAGTTCGAGATATTCTTCGCACTCTCTTACGTGAAACTTTTCTGATGGGTATTTGTTGGCTAACACAAATGTATTCCTATCTATTGGATGTGTTTCGAATCAATGTTAAACGCTATCTTCTTAGCAATCAGAAATATCCAACGCTGCGCGATCACAATATTTTTCTTAATGCAGTCGATCTCGAGTATCACATTATGGTACGTACAATGATTCGCGATGCCATTCGTCTCATTCGTGATTATCGCCAATCGACTAGTGCCTATGCACATTATGATATCATGAAGCGTATGTCAAAACTGATGTTTTCGGTCCCACGAGAGATCGAACATGAAGCATTCAATCAACCAATTGATGGTATTTTTATAAGTTCAACAAACAATACATGCAGAACGGCTACCTTAGCTGATATTTTCAAATCGATTTCACCACATAAACTTCTCGAGCAAATTTATGGTTCTGAATCATTTTTGACAAATAAGCGAGATCCATACACATGCAGTCATCATGAAAATGCACGACGCACAATTAAAGAACTCTATACAGCAAGTTGTGGTCGCCTTTTAGAAGAAATTCGATCCAGTTTTAATACATATGTCGTAATGAGAATTCATAATTTTGATCGATTCTGTAGAGAACGGCACTCAGATAATCCAAATAGAATTCCTCTTTCTACACGCATTGATCGTATGACGGAGCGACAAATTGCTGAGATGTCAAACCTATGTTTCGATGAGATCAACGATGCGTTTCATAAGTCAATTGAAAAAATTCAAGCTTTGAACGAAGCTCTATTGTTTATCAATAACGCCATTACTGAAATGAATAGTGGTAAGCGCGTTCAAAGCGAACAGCGTCGATCACATATGGAAAACATCAATCTTAAAAGCACGAAACATGCAGAATACATGCACAAGAAACAAGAAACTGTCGAGAATCGTCATCGACGGCAATATCTTTCTCAAAGCTCTTATAATCGTTCAACTGATGAATCTAATGAGACCTTAAATGAAAACACACACGATGAAGAACAAAAATTAATGACTCATCGTGATCCAACATCGGCCAGTGAATTTCTACGTGAGATCTATGATAAACATGATAAGGAGGATTTGAAATATGGATTTCTCGAGAATGATCCAGAGGATCAAGACAAGAATCATTTGCATGTGCATGATCGTTTGCGTGTCGATCAGAATGCAATGAACTATGAAAAGATTTCGTCACCTTCTACTGGTATGATCATTTTTACGTAACTTTTTATTCTCTGACTCTCTAACCTATTTAGGCAAAATGAGTAGTTCTTACCAAACAAATGCAAACAATGAGTTTGTGGATGCAGCGTCTGCTTATGATGAACAAAGTAGTTTAAAGGCTCCATCGGTATCTCCAAACTCAATTATTCTACCTCCTATTCAGAATAGCATGTCGATCGATGTCAAAACAGAATGTATGAGAAAAGAACATGGTACTCAACTAGGAAAACGATAATTAGAGAATTACCCTGAATAAGGGAGAAACTAAGAACTATATATTGTTTTAATTATTGAGCCCTTCAGCAAAACTTTAGATACAAAATTAATGATCACGCAGCTTTGTTACTTATTCTTTAAATATTCATTTAAATATAGCATTAGAAATCGAAATAGTGAGAATTTGTTTTATCTCTATTCTCATACCATCCAAACTCAACCTTCATGTGTTTTATAAAAAAAGTTGTAAGCTTGACCTACATGATCTATTTGATCACATAATGAAAAGAAATTATTTATGTAAATAATGTTCACAGCGCCATTCGATTTTAATCGTGCTTATTATATCAGTAGGATGCCTAAATTCTTCAAAAAGGAATGAAATCTTTTGTGTTAATTGTAATCAAACATTGACCATTTAACAATAACGCCTAAGAATAACTGCTGTCAGTTTAAATCTAAACTATTATTAAACTATTTATTCATTTGATTTTATCGCAAATGAAATCTAAACCATAATAGTATACGCTGTTAAGGTACTACATACTATTATTATGTCATCCGTGTATAACCTATATTCATTTTAATAGATCACAGCCATACACTGTTCTGTAATAGTCTACCATTTCCTTTGTACCTGAACACTGTTCACTTTTATCATTGTTTAAATTAAATTTACCTTAATCGAAACTACAGTTTTATAGCGACTCTATTTTAGAGACCACTTGAAAATACAAACTAAAATCAGTCTCTATTAAAATTTGTTTTTTGTGTACTCAAAAAGTGAGTACACTACTAAAATCGGTCTGTGTGTCCGTCCGGCCGTTTACACGATAACTTTCGAAAGGAGAGTCAGATCGCGATGAAATTTTTTGCACAGTTCAGTCTTTACAATATCTCGGTCGAGTTCGAAGATGAGAAGGATCCGTCGAGAAATGACTGAGTTATAAAAAAATTGTGATTTTTGACCAGACCATCCCTGAGGGGGGGGGGGGGGGGNATATATGTAAAAATGCACATTTTTTGTTTTTTTTTTCTCTTCAGTTCTATTTTCTTCATCTCTATTAGAGATGCAACGGTGACGATTAGTCACCGCTTGATCGTAGCAATCGGTAACCGCTTCAGCGGAAACCGCTCCACCGGTAACCGGTGTGAATCGGTAACCGATTAGACCGGTTATCGTCACCGTTGCATCCCTAATCTCTATGCTATTTCTATTAACTTTCTTTTTCATTCACATGTACAGTTCATATAATCCTCTAGTCTTTGTATGATAGTGCCAGTTTTTCTCTTTCACTCTGTAACTCACCCGAATTAGTGCATGGTATGCATGGTGTTTAGCTTGGTCTTGCCATTTCTTCTCATCTTACGTATTGCCATTATCTTTCTGTCTTTACTTTCTCTCCTTTCCTTTCATGTGCGCTTCTTCTCTCTAATAGTTAGTCATATAAGCGTGTGCTTTGTATGCGAACGAGGCGATTGTATGATAGGAAGGATTAGAATAAAGTGTAATTCCATCTGCACTAGCATTCCTTCTATCGAAAACCGTCACACATTCATAATAGTAACCGATTATTTCTTCGCAGGCGTTTCATTTTTGTTCATGCATAGCTTGCCATTTTTTTGGCAACTTAATGTATTTTTTTTCGTATAGTCAATTAAGAGTTACTGTATATGGCATATCAACAATCCAAATGACTAACTGAGTATGCACCAGTCCTTTTATTTGTAGTGATTTCAACGAAATCTTTTGCTCTCACATGAGCAACGCATATACAAGTGAAAGGATCGAATGTTTATTTAATGTGTCTCTCTTCTGTCAATTTATTGCTTAGAGCAAAACACAATTGTCATCTTTCAGTTTTTTTGTCACGTGAGCAGAGACGGAGAAGAAGCGAATGCCTATCGTTAGACATCATTAACAAGTTTCGGGACCTCTTGGCTTTTTTTTGTAGTGTTCGAAAATAAAAAGTTGAACAGACAGAAGACATGTCTAAAAATAAAATATCAATTATCATTCAAAATTTATTGTATTCCATTGATTTGTTTATTGAGAGAGTAGGTTATCAGTAAACATGTTAAAATAATTTGATCAAATTTGGTTTTCTTTTTTTTCAATTATATTTTAATCTTAACCATGAGAAAAACAGGTCTAAACCTATTTTAGCATTATACTTCATAAGAACTCAATAATAAAAATGATTCACAGTGAGTAGGCGGCTGATATTATTCTCTTGGTAATAAAGAGAAGAGTGAAAAATTAATGTAATAAATATATTTTAGCATGTTCATTAATAGCGCATCTTTTTAATAATGTTGTCAATTTTGGATGAGAGTTCATATGTTACAAATATATGATTTCTATGTCTATTCAACTTTATACATACGAAAAAAAATTGAATGTAGTCCAACATCTATGAAACAATCTGTGTATATGTTATATTCATAGAAAGTGCAGTAGTTAGATGAGCTTATTTAAGGTTGAATTATTTTTATCATATATCTGTACATGTTACTAAACGTTCTAATTGTGATCTGGGTGTATCCCTACAGAGAATAATCATATTTCATGGGTTTGGGTGACTTACAGCACATTTTAGACGAATTTGTATTATAACAATTTATGTTAATGATACTTCACGAAGCCCAGTTTCATGGAGTATGATTGTCCTCTCTTGGAATGCGCTCAATGAAACAAGCAAACGCGTAAACGCATGTTAAAAGTCTTGAATAAGCATATATTCGTTCAAAAGCTCTAATGCATTCTTACGCGTCATTTTTAACGGTTTGTCTGACTAAGCATATACATCGTTACCGTCAACTTTTCTCAATAGCTCACTATGGTGTCTATACGTTGATGATGCTCTGGCTGCGTTTCATTTTCATGACAAACAACAAAGTCAAATCTGTTCTTTTTCAAGGCTATTTTTTATTGTGTTGTGACTTTATAAGAGAGGCACGTTGTGCTTCCTGTGTGTGCAGCAAACACAGCAGGTCTCTCTTGTATAGTCACAACTCAATAAGAATAACTTTCGAAAGGAGCAGAAATGATTTTGTTGTTAGTCATGAAAATGAAAAGCAGCCAGAGAAATCATCCATGTAGTGACACCATCGTGACTCACGATGGTGTCTACTGCATTAATGATGCAGTGGCTGCGTTTCGTTTTCATGACAAACAACAAAATCATTTCTGCTCCTTTCGAAGGTTATTTTTATTATGTTGTGACTGTATAAGAGAAGGTTGTTTTTTTCTCTCTGTTTCATTCCATTAGCAAAAACAACGTAGGAAACTTCATTTCGAAAATGGCATCTGTCGTCGATCATGAACCTGTTATCGATCGAGCTGCATTCGAAGCCTATATACAACTTCGAGCGATTGCCAAGAAATACAATGTCGAAGACAAACTCGAAGTACCTCAATTGGTTCTAGTCGGTGAAACATCAACCGGCAAGTCAATGCTCGTGCAAAATTTTCTTCGATTTCCTTGTTCATTCTCCCAGACTGGAATTGCAACACGTTGTCCAGTGGCTTATCGACTTGTCTACAACCCGACGTTACCTATCGGCGAGCTTCGTATTATTCGACCAGCAAATATTACTGCTCCTCAACTGGCAAATCATTTGCAACAATTAATGAAACGTATTCAAGAAGAACATTCCGCAACGGGTGGTTTTCGACTCGAACCCGAATGGATCGAGATCGAAAGTGCTGAATATACGGATTTCGAAATTCTTGATCTACCTGGTCTGATTGGTGGTGATAAAGTCGCTGAGACTCGAGAAGCAGTAGAGAAGATAGCCGAAGCATTTGTGCGCAACCCTCGATTCTCCATTGTTCTACTGAAAGAGACGACACAAATCACTGATAATAGTCATGGTGCACGTGTGATTGACGAACTCTGCAAAAAACAAAAAGGAACTGATTCTTCCTTGCCACCACGGCCTGACTACCATCGAAATATGATCACTATTCATACGAAATTTGATTCTTTTATGCTGAACTTTACCAATGGAACTGCAACCAATAACGAGATTGCAAAGCAGCTTCACGATTTTGGTTCTTCTTTCTTTACTAATATGATTTTTGATGGATATTCAATGGCAGAACGATCATTCGATGATAATGTTGCCTATATTCGTGATTTATCGCGTCGAGAACAACAAGAAGTAGACAAATGGATTGAGAAAATGAATCAAAAGAGTGACAAATCACCTGATCATTATCAGCCTTTCGATGAGAAATATCGTAAGCTTATCGGTATCGATGTTGTACGAAATCAAATTCAATCTCTCTGGCTCAAGGTAAATTGCTCGATTTTCATTTAAAATTTTCACATGAAAATGTTGAAATTCAATCGAGTTTCTTTTCATTCGTTGTAGTCATTTCGTTCTGCTCTGCCAAAATTAAAAGCAAAAATTCAAGATGAACTCGACAAAGCCCGCCGTCAATATGATGAAGATCAAGAACGATACAAACTACTTGATCCCCATATCCTTCGCGATACTTATATAAACTATCTCAATGATTTTCATAAGATTCTTTGTCAATATTCTGGTTACAAGTCGGAAATTGATTTTATTTTTCCTCTCGATCGATGTGGTCAGACATACGAGGATATCGAAACTACCTATAATGAATGGCAACGAACAAAAGCAATCACCTGGCGGGCATATTTGAGTGCAGACGATTTGAAACAAAAATTTCCCGAAGAAGACAAAACGATCAATGCGCGTTATGTTGGTTCTCGTCATTTCGCGCGTCTTCATAATCTCTTTTCGTACATGATTTTACACTTCAAACCACGTGAACCAACCCGAGATTGGATTGAAACAACGGCTGCATTTTTGGCTGCTAATTCAACAGACTTTGATGATTTGGAAAAAGCAATTCGAGATATTCTTCGCACTCTCATACGTGAAACTTTTCTCATGGGTATTTGTTGGCTGACACAAATGTATTCCTATCTATTGGACATGTTTCGAATCAACGTTAAACGCTATCTTCTTAGCAATGAGAAATACCCAACGTTGCGCGATCACAATATGTTTCTAAACGCAGTCGATTTTGAGTATCACATTATTGTACGTACGATGATTCGCGATGCCATTCGTCTCATTCGCGATTTTCGTCAATCAATGAGTGCCTATGCACACTATGATGTCACGAAACGTATGGCGAAATTGATTTTTTCTGTTCCACGAGAGATTGATCATGGTGCTTTCGAGCAACCCATTGAGGGTATTTTTGTGAAAAATGCAACAAACAATACATACACGAAAGCTACCTTAGCCGATATTTTTAAATCTATTCCACCGCAGACACTTCTCGAGCAAATTTATGGTTCTGAATCATTTTTGACAAGTAAGCGAGATCCACATACATGCAGTCATCATGAAAATGCACGACGAACAATACAAGAGCTCTACACAGCAAGCTGTGGTCGATTCTTGGAAGAAATTCGATCTAGTTTCAATACGAATGTTGTAATGAGAATTCATAATTTTGATCGATTCTCTAGAGAAAGACACCCAAATAATCCAAATCGACTTCCTCTCTCCTTACGTATCAGTCGCATGACCGAACGACAGATTAGTGAGATGTCGAATATGGATTTCGATGAGATCAATGACGTGTGTCATAGATCAATTGAAAAGATTCAAGCTTTGGACGAGGCTCTATTGTTCATCAATAGCGCCATTACTGAAATGAACACTAGTGAACGAGTTCCAAGTGAGCAACGTCGATCGCGTATGGAAGACATCAATCTCAAAAGCACAAAACATGCACAATACATGCGTAAGAAACAAGAAACTGTCGAGAGTCGTCATCGACAACAATATCGCTCTCAAAGTTCTTATACTCGTTCAGCTGATGAGTCCAATGAAACCCCCAATGATTATGCCCTCGATGAAGAACAGCAATTAATGACTCATCGTGATCCGACATCAGCCAGTGAATTTCTACGTGAGACCTATGATAAGCATGATGAGGAAGATCTGAACTATGGATTTCTCGAGAATGATTCACGTGATCAAGATAAGAATTATTCGTCTGTACATGATCATTTGCTCGTCGATCCGAATTCAATGAACTATGATCAGACTTTGTTACATTCTACGGGTATGTTCACTTTCACGTAACTCTCTTTCTTTTTTGACTTTCTAACGTATTTAGGCAACATGGATGGTCCTTTCGGAAAAATCACAAGCAATGACTTTTTGAATGCGACGTCTGCTAATGATGTGCAACACAGTTTGCAACATCCATCGGTATCATCAAACTCAATTGTTCTAACCTCTACTCAGGATAGCATTTCGGCCGATGATGAAACAGATAGTATGAAAAAGCAGCATCGTCTTAAATTAGGAAAACGATAAATAGTGAATTATCTTGAATGACGAACACACTAGATATTATATCTTGTTTTCAAAATTGAGCATTTCAGTAACACTTAAGATACGAAATCAATGATCACACGACTTTGTTACTTGTTCTGTAAATATTTACGTGAATTTCGAATCAGACGTCGAAGCGGGAAGAACCTTTTGTTACCCGTCTCATTTCGCCCAGATTCAACCTTGTAGTATCTTATACAAATCGTTCTAAGCTTGTATTTAGCAGTACACTGGAAAGAAATTATTTATATAAAATGATGTTCGCATGGCCATTAGATTTTAACAGTGGTTATTTTATCAGTAGGGGGACTAAAGTCTTTAAAAAGTAATAGAAGTTTTTTGTTCAATTGTAATCAAGATAAATATTGACCTCTTAGAACTATTTATCTAATCGATTATACATTAAAAGAAATCTAAACCTTAATAATATGCGTTCGTAAGAGAATAGATACTGCTTTTATGTTATATGTCTATAACCTATATTAATTCTAATAGATCACAGACATGAAATTTTTCTTTAATAGTCTACAATGTTCTTCTTGCTTAACACTGTTCTCTATTATCGTTGTTTAACTTAATCATCTCAGTCGAAAGTTTTGCTTTTGAATGATTCTATTCCTTTCATGACTATTTTTCATCGAGATTGATTTTAGAAGACGACATGAAAATGTAAATTAATACCATAATCTCCTTTAAAAACAATTTTCCAAAACATGGTTGGTGAGGTAATCGTACAGAGGTTTCAGCTAAAGTGTTATCTGACGATATTCATTAAAAAATTTATCAGCTTTAAAGTATTTCGTACTGATGTACGAATAGTTTCTGAAGTCGTCTATGTTCATATTCTTAAGCGAATTCAGAGGAAAGTTGTCAGAAAACGCCTGAATACCAGCCACTTTAGCCAATACAGTTAACCATTTTTATAGTTTTAGTGAAATCGCGTTTTTGTCCATGATGACGAAAACTCTTTCTCGATATACTTTTTCTATTCAATGGCTGTTCATCCAGCGGGTGGTGAACTTGTTGACTAAATAACATTGAACAACTTAAGACATCGATTATATGTCTCGACCATGATTATTCAGATCTAACGCATCTACGTGACTATTTATGATATAAAATTTTAGGACAGAGAACCTTTGGGAATTCAACTTTACCCCGCTTTGCCTCGTGCTATCTACAGAAAATAGTTTCCAACTTGCGATCCTATCCTGTTTTGGTCTCTATTCCATATTATGATGACTTGGTTGTGATCTTATTCTTAAACGAGTTTCTTTTTCTTTTTCTTTTTCTTTCATATTTTCTATTGAGCTCCGAAGCTGAGTTGTTGCCCTTCGATACGGGCAGGTACGTTGTACATTAGATCGAGAAAAACAGTGCCTAGAGGATTTTTTCATCAACACATCAAATCTAGTATACACAAGAGTTACTTTTTTATTTAGACGACAGTCTATCGGAAATAGCAGACACCGTATCAATTACTTCAAATGATCTAAAAGAAATTGATGGGACACACAACGATTGGAGTGGACTGCCATCGAAAAAAAAGAAACGAACCCTAAAAAACCGTCTTCTTTTCTTTAAGAAGACGCCTTAATCATTTTGTCTTGTCTAATCGGGTGTCATTTTTTCAATAAAGAATTCCATCAGAATACAAATAATAACGATCATGATGTGCGCGTGGGTAGGGGGGGGGGCGTGAGTTTGTGTCCTCATTTCAATAGAAATCATACATGAACGCATCCACACCTACTCTATTATTTTTACAATAAACTCTGCGTTACTAATTTTTTTTGGTTATTTTCACTACAGAACGACAATGGTTTCAAGAGTTTTGTTTTCATTCAGTTAATCAATAATGTTCACAAGCTGTGGATCATAAATAGAAGTAAACGGGCGTTCTATTTGTTTTTGTGTACAGAAGCTCAAATACAAAATAACGAAACACAACGCGAATAAGAATGTATGGGTTGTGAGTGCATCACAACCAGCATTGCTTACATTTAGATGATGAAGTAACAATCTTGTTTCAAATGAAACATAGACACTTGAGAAGCTTAAAATTTTCAATGTAAAACTATTCTATTAAAATGAAGACAACTATAATGGATATTTGTCAACAGAGCATAATACAAGGAGGAAAAACTGATTTCAATAGTGGAAATCGCATATAAGAATATAACAATACTAATACCAAATGGTATTAGTGTTCCTTAAAGGTGTGCAACTCAGTCTTTTCTTTACTCCAATATGATTATATTCAAATTTTGTTCGGGTCATATGAAAGAGTACTCAGGGTAATCCTATCATCAGTTCAAACAACGCGATGCTTTGTCCTGATAATAAAAAAAATGACTATTGAAGTCTGATTGATCAATACAAAATGCCTATCAACCAATCAGATTTCAGTAGAGCTTTTACTCTATTATAAGGAAAATGCAGTGTTGTTCGCAGCGATCATGCCGTTCTGTTTCATATGACCCTAGCAATACCAATACAGTATTGATATTGTCACATCTCTTATCATATGAAATCACTGAAACCAGTTCATTCCTTCTTATTACAAGAGATGCTTTTTCGGCATGCATAAAAATCTTATCCGCTACTTCGGTGATACCAACAAAACAAACAAAAAATATATATTGATCTCATTGTGAAATCATTGAGCATATTTTTCAATAAGATCAAGCCAAGTTTTAAAATAAATCTTAGAGATTTCTAGGCAAGCAATTTATTTCCCAGTGTATTTAATGTAGATAGCTACACTGGAAAAATTTTCTATCTTTCTTGCAAAGAAAAAAATATATTTAAGATAAAACAAGGTGCAAATATGACCACACATAAGTTGTTTTTATAAGTTTCGAAACACAATAATTTTTTTTTATGGGCAGACCGACAATGATCTAATCTAAAGGAAGTTTGCGTACACCTTTCGAAGGTTTAAATGTTAAAATATTGAATGATGGATCATCTAAATAAAGAATGTTCGAAAAATTTGCAGATACAAACAAAATATGAATATCAAAGATATATCCTTTAATAGTAATATATTATTCTGTAAACACATAAAAATAAAATACTTATGACAAATATTAACGAAAATTGCTAAGAAAAAAAGCTTGCTCGAAAAGATTTTTGATTCCTGAATCGGATAATTACCAGATTTGGTTCAAGTTTAGTATAAACTAAATGTGAAAATATCGGATTTTAATCCGAGTGTTATGTGTACTTCAAAAAGCAAGAATAATTGACGAAAGATTGATTGTGATCAAACTGTCTAAAAATGAGTCATGATAGCATGTCTAAACATCAAATTTATCCCAGGAAGTCGTTTTTCCTAAAACTAGATTTCTATTAGTTACTGATCAACCAATAATATTTTGAGGCAAATGGAGCTCAGATTTAAGTTCTCCGATCCAGAAAACATTTGCTCAAGTATGATAAAACTTTCAAATATCGCGTTTCTGATCGGCAAACGGAGCTTCAATTTTCGACGAAACAGAGCATGAACGAATGCAGAAACAATTTCCGTTTAAGTATCTTTGCAACAGATGACTTAGTCTTCCTGTTTCTTAATGTTTTATATACTATTTTGTAGTTCGTGAAATTCTCTATCGAATGGTATATAATAGTTGAGGCTTTTGTTTTGATTATGAGTGAAAAAGGTTTTTACGACAACCGGGATACGTGAATGTTCGCATAGAAAAGCATAGAAAAAGTGACATTTTATGCGATAATTCAGCAATTTCTTCATCAATCAGTCTCATCTTCGACCTTGACCGAGATATCCATGAGACAATTCTATGCAGAAAGTCTCATGACAATCGGTTCATATTCTCAAGAGTTATCGTGTAAACGACCGGCCGACCAGACACACTGACCAATTCTAGAGCGTACTCACTTTTTGAGTATACAAAAAACAACATAATCATTCAAGTAACGCAATTATTTCATTATAAAAATCAATATGAGGCTTGAATCATATAATTGTAATAATATTTTATTTTCGTTATGAGTTAATGCAATAATAAATCGTTTTCAATTAGAACCAACATTGTCATAGCGGAAGAAAATATGATGAAAATCATGAATGTATAAATTAATCTAGATTTGAAATATATTTTTTAAGATGAATGACAACGAGTCCGTATGATAAGTCTAAAGTATTCGTATGATTATATCAATATGATGATTGTACAAGGTGTTCCGAATATTTCCAATGCAAGTTTAAATATCTGTTATATAAATCGAATAGTTTAATTCCTTTTCAGAATAATACGGTAGTATGTTCTTCTAGCTACGATTTACTTCGTGCACTTTGATTTACAACCAATGATCAACATCAATTAAAATACACATGAACCATTGTTTTAGAAATCTTTTTGAGAAAGAATACTTGAGAAAGTTTATTTTCAAATTAATTTATTTCTGTTATTTTGGTTCTTATGTTGAAATCAACCATATCTTTATATATGTGTGTGCTTAGGCGAATTCTGTTAATTGTTAATATTTTCTAATATTGATATCAAAATGATATAAATTCCACACGATCTTGTGAATTTTCTTCGCGATATTGTTGGATAAATTGCACATTGTATGGCTTCGTTGTAAGATATTTAGTCTGCTATTGTTCATGGAATAAAGCCGAATATTGTAACAATCTGAGCACGCGATAGTGGTACATTTTCGCAAACTTCACGAATTTCGTCGATTCATTTTTTTGTAGTTTTTGAAGATCTTTCAGA